TAGTTTGAGCATTCTTTGGCATTGCCTTTCTTTGGGATTGGAATGAAAACTGACCTTTTCCAGTCCTGTGGCCACTGCTGAGTTTTCCAAATTTGCTGGCATATTGAGTGCAGCACTTTCATGGCATCATCTTTTAGGAGTTGCAATAGCTCAACTGGAATTCCATCACCTCCATTAGCTTTGTTCGTAGTAATACTTCCTAAGGCTCACTTGACTTTGCATTCCAGGAACATGTATTTGGTACTCAACAAATGCAAGTTAGATATACAGTTGCACAAAATAAGCATTAAGATAAGCGAACACTTCACTCAGGGATTGTTGAAACATATTACTTGTGAGTATATCTTACTAACAGGCTTCCCTGATAGTTCAGTTGGTAAAGAATCCACCTGCAATGCAGGAGACCCCGGTTCGATTGGTCGGGAAGATCTCCTAGAGAAGGGAGAGCCTACCCACTCCAGTATTCTTAGGCTTCCCTTGTGGCTCAGCTGGAAAAGATTCTGCCTGTAATACGGGAGACCTGGGTTCGATCCCTGGGTTGGGAAGATCCCCTGGAGAAGAGAAAGGGTACCCACTCCAGTATTCTGGTCTGGAAAATTCCATGGACTGTATAGCCCATGGGGTTGCAAAAAGTTGGACACAACTGAGTGACTTTCATGTCTTACTAACATGAAAATGAAATCCAATGAATATATATGCAATAGACACTGTAAAAAGTGGGCCAAAATTGGGAACACACCAAAAAGAAAATATATACCTTGAACAATGAGACTCTTCCTCCACTTTTGGCCTGAACACAGAGGATTGAAACTACCTACCCTGATTTACCTACATTTGTTAGTCTGCTTGGAGTGCTCTAACATGTGCCACTGATGGGGGGGCTTAAACAACAGATACTCACAGTGGGGAGGCAAGGTCAGAATTTACTGAGAAGTCTGGACGCTGGAAGTCTGAGACAAAGATGTCAGCAGGACTGGCAAATGCCATATTTAATTTCATTTTGTGTATCCCAACTTCTCTTGCACAGTGCATCACAGAAAATAACAAATACATATATGTTGAATTGAACTCAATATCATATACTAAATTGACTGCATTAAAATGTGTGTGTTTTTTCTTCTAGAGGCGTGGAGCTATCTCCTATGACAGCTCGGATCAGACTGCACTGTACATTCGTATGCTCGGTAAGAATTCTTTATTTTGCATTTTGTTATTTGGTGGCTAAGTTGTGTCCAACTCTGCGACCCCATGAACTGCAGCATGCCAGGCTTCCCTGTCCTTCACTGTCTCCTGGAGTTTCTCAAATCCATGTGCATTGAGTCAGTGATGCTATCTAACCATCTCATCCTCTGTCACCCACCCACTTCTCCTCCTGCCCCCAATCCCTCCCAGCATCAGAGCCTTTTCCAGTGAGTCAGCTCTTCACATCAGGTGGCCAAAGTATTGGAGCTTCAGCATCAGTCCTTCCAGTGAATATTCAGGATTGATTTCCTTTAGGATTGACTGGTTTGATGTCCTTTCTGTCCAAAGGACTCTCAAGAGTCTCCTGTAGCACCGCAAATCAAAAAATTTTGTTTGCACTAGTATAATTTTGTTATCTGCTGTTATTCAGGACTGAGATAGCTTTCATTAGGTAGCTTTTCATCACTGTTAGCAGCATAAATGTCTATTACTTTGAAGTTGAATCTAGAAACCAAAATTAATGTGATGTGCAAAAGAGGGGCATCTTAAGAATTATAGGTAATTAAGAAATCTCTAGCTTTATAACTGAGACTCTGTTACCATTACACAATTTTAAGATGCATCCTGATGATTCTTCATGAAAAGTCTCAGATTTGCAGAGTTGCTAAATACTAAACAGATGTCCACAGTAACATGAACAAAGACGAGACCACGAAATACCTGATCTCATAATCCTGTCACTGGATGTGTTTGTTCTCAGTTGGCTGATGAGAAGGCCATGTGTATTCTCCTAGTCTCGGTTCTTAAATCTTTAATGTATTACTCAAGTCCAGAGGGTAAATGGATTTGATGTGTGTGCGTGTGTATAATTTTCTTTCTCACTCCCTCTCTTTGCCAGATTTTTTCCCTTCATCCACGTACTCCTCGATCCCTTGTACTTTAGTTCATAATATTAAAAATGTACTATTAAGAGTCCAGGGACTTCCCTGGCAGTCTAGTGGTTAAGATTCCGTGTTGCCAATGCAAGGGGGACGTCAGTTCAATCCCTGGTCCAGGAGCTAAGATGCCACATGCTACATGGAATGGCCAGAAAGTTTTAAGTAAATAAATATTTTAAAAAGATTGCAATAGGCACCTTTGCTCATCTTTTCTTACTGTCTTTTCTGGCTTGGCTGTTCTTCTCATGCTCAGAATTCCTTGCTCAATGTCCACAATATTGAGTCATCCTTATTCTTCACCTGCTTCTGGGGTGGCCTTTTTCTTCCCCCATTTCACTAACTCCTTCTCCTCCTCATAAGCCCGTTTGTTCTCCAATGCCCCGTGTGTGTCATCTTCCCTTTTTTTCCTCTTCAGTTTACCTCGTGTATCATACCTGCCTGGTTCCATTCTACTCTAGCACATATTTCCCCCAGGAATGTGGAGCCTTTTCTTCCTTACCATCTCCATCTCTCTGCAGAGATGTCCACATTCTGCTCTTCTTAAAACAAAGCTTAGACTCCTGTCTTCTTCACTCTGCAGAACATCTCCACGTGGATGTGCCCTGGGCACCTCACATTTAACAGATCTGTTAAAATATTTGTGTTCGCCAAGTCTGTGCATTTGATATTCTTTCACCATCTCAGAAAAAGGAACTTGAATCTCCTATTGTCAGATCAGGAACCTTGGCATCGTTTTTTTTTTTTCTGTTTAAATTTATTTTTAATTGGAGAATAATTGCATTACAGTGTTGCATAGGATTCTGCTGTATAATTCATGATTCAGCCATAAGTGTACATATAACCCTTCCCTCTCGAGCTTCCCTCCCAGCCCCACCGTCAGCCCTCTAGGTCGTCACGGAGCACCGAGTGAGCCCCCTGTACTATATAACAGCTTCCCGCTAGCTCTCTGCTTTCCACGTGGTGGTATATATGTCAGTACTACTGTTTCACCCTGTCCTCCCCCCACTGTGTCCACAAGTGCGTTCTCTACGTCTGCATCTCTGTTCCTGCCCTGTGAATAGGTTATTCGGTCCCATTTTTCTAGATTCCATATATATGTGTTAGCATACAAAATTTGTTTTTTTTCTTTCTGACATAGTTCACTCTGTATGACAGATTCTGGGTTCATCGGCATCATTCTTGACTTGTTTCTCACTTAGTCTACTTTATCAGCAAATCCTCTTGACTGGTACCTTCAAAGTACATCCAGAATTTCACCACGCCAGTGCTGTTACCATCCCAACCTAAACCACAGTCACTCAGTTTTTTCTTGTTAACTGTCGTCGTACTGTTGTACATAAGATCTCCAGAACTTACCATGCGTAATCGAAACTTTATTATTCTTGTCCAGCATCTGCCCATAATCACTTCCCCCCAGGCCATAGCTGTTGCCTCGATGAAGGCACTCATTCCTTAACTGGCCTCCCTGCGTCTACCTGTGTGTCTCTACTTGACTCTCTAGTCTATACAACCAGTAATCCTTTTCAGACCTAAGTTAAATCCATCTCACTCCTCTGTTCTGAATCTTAGAGTAGTTTTCTACCTTAGAGTAACAGCCAAAGCTATCATAAAGGCCCTTGAAGGTCCAACATGATCTAGCCCGACTTTCTCTGACCTCCCCACTTCTGTCAGTTCTCTTCATTCACCTCACTCCAGCCTTCCTGGCCTCTCTGCTTGATTTTGAGCATGCCAAGCAAGCTCCCATCTCAGGAAATTCATGCTTGCTCTTCCTTACGTCTGGAACCCTCTCTGCCCAGGTGGCCCTGAGGCTCGCTGCTTCCCTGCCTTCAGGTCCCTGCTCAGATACTGTCTTTTCACTGAGGTCTCTGACCGCATCATGAGTAGCTTCCCAGCCCAGCCACCCTCACCTCCCTCCCTGTTCCTCTTTTCTTGGTTTCCTTTCTCCGTGTTCCTGTTACCATCTTCCATAGAGTGGAATTATCTATTTGCTTTATTATTGGTCTCACTGCATGAAAGGACGCACTTCATGAAGACAGGGACTTTGTGTATTTTGCTCACTGCTGTGTTTCCTGACGTGCAGCAAGTGCTCAGTAAACATCTGATCCAGAGTGAAGGCATCGCCACGTGAGAGAAGTGATTAATCATTATAGGATAGACTCACAGTGGCTGACAGGCCCCTTGAAACGAAGCCTAAGCAGGAAGGCGTTCCAGGCAAGTGGAGTTGTAAGCAGGTGCAGGCACTGACGACTTAAAGGCTGTGAACGTGGAGGCTGTGGAAGTGTAATGGGAAAGCTCCTGCTTTTGGGGCCCGCAGAGTTAGGTTTAAATCTTGACTCTGCTTTATACCAGCTTTGTGGCCCTGTGCGTGCTCTTTAACATCTAGAAATCTCGGTTATTGGATCTGAAAATGGGGGTTAAGATTCCTATCTCTTGGGACTTCCCTGCTGTTCCAGTGGCTAAGACTCTGTACCCCTAGTGTAAGGGGTTTGATCCCTGGTCAGGAAACTATTAATAGATCCCACATGCTGCAGCTGAGACCTGTTGCAGCCAAATAAATAAATATTAAAAAGAAAAAGATTCCTATCTCTCAGAGTTGGTTAGAGAATTAAATAAAAGAATGTCTTCAAGGCGCAAAAAGAGTACCTGGCACAAGACTGCAGTGTTTATGTTGCTGTGGATCCAAGAGTCACATGGATACAAGAATCACATACTGAGCTTATCAACAACGAAGTTTACATCCAAAGACCTTGACTACACCCACTTTCAGTGAGAAAAGAGGCTGATCAAATTAAACGTCTCAGGCGAAATACTTAATGTTTTCATTTTCTATACCTTTCAAAAAATGTAAGCTGCTCGAGAATAGGTAATATATTTTCTATTTCTTTATATCCCATATGGCCTATAGTATAGTGCTAGGCAAAGTAGACACTTGGTAAATATTTGCTTCTCACTGTGGCTTTTTAAAGTTTCCTGCTCAGGATTTTTTTAACTCCATGTGAGTAATAAGATATGAGTTTGGATTATTATATACTTGAGTCATCTTTCAGAAGGTAACTCTAAAATAGAGATTATAATTACTGTGAGGGAGGTTTAAAAAAAAAAAACTGTTCATCTAGCCTTACAGCTCAGTGCTAAAAATTTGTAAACCCCTTCAAATAAATCAGCTCTTAACTACCTATTCCATTTATATCATTAGCAGGCCATTCCTTATGAGTATGATACCACTGAGACCTTTATTGCATGTGGGAGCTTCTTCCTGAATAACAGCCGTCTCAACTTTCATTTTATCCCTCATTCTGTTTAGGAGATGTACGTGTAAGAAGTCGAGCAGGATTTGAATCAGAAAGACGAGGTTCTCATCCATATATTGATTTTCGTATTTTTCACGGTAAGTGTTGGCAGATGTACTATTTCTCTCAGACTTCCAGTAAACTTCGAGTCTTCATAAAATGATGTAATTTTCCAAGGGGGAAAAAAGAATACAAGAAAAAACATGTTCAAAATGTTTTCAAAACATTAGGTCATTATAAATGACATTATTCCTAAATAATGTTCATAAATGTTTCGAGGCAAGTAGAGTTGGAAATTATAGAAATATGAAAGCTGATAATAGTTTTTCTTCTTTCTAATTTAAATGTGAAATTACTTTGGTACATTCTTTTTTTTTTAAAGCTGCATTTTCGAAAAAGTTTCATTCTAAATGTTTTGTCTTCACTACTGTAGATAAAATGTTTCTGTGCAAATGATATTTTATAAAGGTATTTCATCGCTAAGAAGATGTATCCTTTGAATTTATTTTAAAAAATACATATAATCATGAAAGATGTTTTTGAAAACAAACATTGTTTGGTTCCAGCACATGATGAAGAAAAAGGAAAAAACAGAACTTCTAAGACCCTTGAATATTACATATTAAATCTGTTTTTGGAGGAGTTCCACTTTTGGTAGCATTGGATAGATCATTTGTAGTAACACTCCAACTAAACACATTAAGAAAACTGGACAAAATATAAAAGACTATGTATTTGAATGTGTGAGAGTACCGTTGAGCCAGGGATGAGCCTGGCATTTTGGCTGACTTTTCCCCTTAGCGGTATCTACTGATGCTGGGAAAGTGGGTGAGAAGCTGAACAGAGCTTTTTGTTGAACAGCCGAGGCTAGAAAAACAAAAACAGATGTTTATAACTCACCAGGGCTGGGGGATTGTCCTGGTAAACTCTCTATGCTTAAGTTAGAAATTCCAAGTGCTGTGTGTTATTAGAAATAAGTCCCAGCTTTAAAGTATCTCAGTCAATGGTTAGATTAAGGTGATCTGTGATTTTTTTAGAGCCTCTAAGTCACCTGTCAGAAGTCAATGTTAAACCTCTTTGGAGGAAGCAGGCTCTTGGATTTGGTTGGGGAATATTTTATTGAGAAATTTTGCATTTATGTGCATGAGAGATAATGGTCTGTAGTTTTCTTTTTTATATATAGCATCTCTTACATGATGAAGAAAAAGGAAAAAACAGAACTTCTAAGACCCTTGAATATTACATATTAAATCTGTTTTTGGAGGAGTTCCACTTTTGGTAGCATTGGATAGATCATTTGTAGTAACACTCCAACTAAACACATTAAGAAAACTGGACAAAATATAAAAGACTATGTATTTGAATGTGTGAGAGTACCGTTGAGCCAGGGATGAGCCTGGCATTTTGGCTGACTTTTCCCCTTAGCGGTATCTACTGATGCTGGGAAAGTGGGTGAGAAGCTGAACAGAGCTTTTTGTTGAACAGCCGAGGCTAGAAAAACAAAAACAGATGTTTATAACTCACCAGGGCTGGGGGATTGTCCTGGTAAACTCTCTATACTTAAGTTAGAAATTCCAAGTGCTGTGTGTTATTAGAAATAAGTCCCAGCTTTAAAGTATCTCAGTCAATGGTTAGATTAAGGTGATCTGTGATTTTTTTAGAGCCTCTAAGTCACCTGTCAGAAGTCAATGTTAAACCTCTTTGGAGGAAGCAGGCTCTTGGATTTGGTTGGGGAATATTTTATTGAGAAATTTTGCATTTATGTGCATGAGAGATAATGGTCTGTAGTTTTCTTTTTTATATATAGCATCTCTTTAGAGTGAGTTAGGAAGTGTTGCCTCTGCTTCTAACCTCTGAAAGGGATTATAAAGAATTGGTATAATTTCTTCCTTAAATAATTCACCATTGAAACCCATCTAGGCCTTATGTTTTCTGTTTTGGAAGGTTACTGATTAATGACTCAGATTCTTTAGTATTAATAGATATAATTTGGCCAATTCTTCCTCTGTGAGTTTCGGCAGACGTTTACTGTGGGATTAACCTGATCAGGCTCCTGGAGGTAAATCTCACAAGCTTCTTCCTGTACTCCGCCCATGCCTAGATGTCCCTGAAGTTTTTAACTCTCAGGGAACCCTCCAGAAGCTCACCAGCTATGTTCAGGTTCCTCTGCCCCAGCACTGGTTCCCACGGAGGTTTCTGTTTGTGAGTCTCCGCGCCAGTAAGTTACCTCTGTTCGTCCATCTCTCTAGCCTTGGGGCAGTGAGTCGCCTCGTGTCCCCACCTCTTCAGTGCATCCTGGAAGAGTTGTTGACTTTTTAGTCTCTTCAGCTTCTTGTATGTTGTTAGGACAGAATGGCAACTTCTCAGCTCCTTCTATGCAGTTCCAGAAACCAGAAATCCTATAATGTTATTTTTAAATGAAACGATACATTAAGTATTTTGAATTTCTGTTCTAGTTCCTATTATGGAAAATATCACTGGATATAATTCTCATAAATTAGAGCTCTTTGGGGCAGTTAGTAATTTTCAGAGTGTAAAAGAGTTCTGGGACCAACATGTTGTAGAAAGTCGCAGTTACCTCTCTAAAAGCATGACGTCCTGAGGTTTTCCAGCAAATTATTCAGGATCTTTAAAAGACTGATTATTGGCTTCTCTGGTGGCTCAGACTGTAAAGAATCTGCCTGCCAGTGCAGGAGACACAGGTTCGATCCCTGGGTCAGGAAGATCCCCTGGAGAAGGAACTGACAACCCACTCCAGTATTCTTGCCTGGAGAATTCCATGGACAGAGGATCCTGGTGGGCTACAGTCCAGGTGGTCACAAAGAGTTGGACACAACTTAGGGACTAAACAACAATTAGTTTCACAGCTCTTTAAATTCTTTCAGATTAAAAAAAGGAATCATTCAGATTTATTTCTGTGTAGAGCAAATACAGTATTCAAGAGGCACATATAATACTCTGTGTAAATATCTATAAAAAAATCTTTGGAAACAAATATTAGTAAAAAGAATATGAATAGCATAAAAGAATACTCCAAGCTTAGCTGGTTTCTTTGGGAAAGGAAGAGTACTTTTTCTTTGTAACAATACATTAGAACTTGGTAACATTGGTTGCCTCCAGGAGGGAAACTGTGGTGGCTTGAGGACATGAGAAAGAAACTTTTTGTTGTACACCCTTTGAATTTTGGTTCATGTGAACATATTACCCATTGAAATGTTCGGATAAAATTCTTTGTAAATATTGTGATATTAGAGAAATTGGCTCTGTGTAAGAATATCAGTAAAATGGTGACGTCTCCATATTGACCTAAAGAAAAATGCAGTTGCATTGTGAGTCCCTAGGCTACCCCTTGTCTTTAACTGAATTTAGTGAAATAGAGAATTTGAATATTATAATTATTAAAAGATGTTGGAAATCTTAGACATAATGGGACTTTTTGGTGGAAGAGGAAAGTTAGAAATAGTCACATCGTTGGAAGTAATCTTTCATGGAATTAAAATAGGATGTTTATCTTCTAAGTCATTATGAAACCAGAAGCAAAGAATATAAAATCTAAACACAAAAATATGATCATAGATACCAGTGATGGCAGTAAGGTAAATGGATGAAATACTCCTTCTCAGAGATAAATATGCCCAGTTTGGGTGAAAAATGAAACCAAGTGACAAGAACGAGTGAGAGGCAATGTGAAGCAGTCCCAGGCTGGAGGAGGTTCCTCGGGTTTGGGGACCTGGGCCTGCACCCTAACCTCCTGATGTGGAGCCTCTGTGGTCTGGTGTCAGAGGAGTCCACACAGCTTCTGAGGATTGCGGATTCTCTTCCTGACCCCATCGTGACAAATGTCCTAGACTCTGGGCCACAGATGAAAATTATCACTGTGAAACTGATCCTGTAGTTATTGTAAAACAGGAGTGTCTTTCTAAGCCAAGATGATCATTTAATTTGGAGGGGTTTTTAAGATGGAGAAAAGTGAGTCATTCTTTTCTGCTGGTATAGTAGGCTCTATTTATCACACCACTCAGAATTTTGAAAAGAAAAAATTTTAATCTGGCATATTTGGTGAAGTGTGATCTTAAAAAGATTTCTTAGTACGTAAGAAACAGTGTTTGGGTTTACCATATCAAAGTGCATTCTCCTCTAGCTATTTAGCCGGTTAGGGAACAATTACAGGCTCCAAGTTAACAAGTGGGACCTCAATAATGATTTTATTACATAGATATCACATAATCTGCCTTGAGTTTCTTTGGTTTGGATTATCCTTTGTCATAAATCGTTATTTTTGTTTTCATGAGGCCTGTAAATGGATTTTCACAATAGGATTTGCCATGGGCATTATTATGCAGTGAGAGTTCTGACTTTGAATCTTTCTAAAACAATATAAAGAGGCAAAAGAAAAAAATTAGCTGAACATGGAAATATATTAAATACAGAATCAGTGTTCAGCCTCACTCTTAAGACAGATTCCTATCAGATATAGCAAGTTAAGCAAATAATCCACTAAAGTGCTACTGATAGAAGTTCACATTATTACAAACTATGCATCAAGAATTTTAAATATTTTTTTTCCTCTTTGATTTCAACACTAGAAATGTATGCAAAGGGAATAATCTCATACAAATGTGAATGTAGGTGTGAAGACATTCATGTTGGTCTTATTTATAATAGGAGCGTGTATTAATTAGGTTGTGGTGTTACTCACTGAAGTATTTGAGGGTAAACACCAGAATGTTTAAAACCTACCCTCAGATGTTCAGAATAGAATCAGGTCACATACCACACAGTGCACGCACACGCACGCACACACGTACACACATAGTACAAAATGGTAAAGCAGGTGAAATAAAATGTTAACAATGGCAAATCTGAGTAAAGAGGTATGTGATAAAGAGTAGTCCTTGTACCATTTGGCTTTGCAACTTTTTGTTATCTCCAAACAAAAAGCTTTAAAAGTATAGTAATTAAATTATGCATTTATTAAGAATCAGGGGTTTATACTCAGAGTACAAATTTATTAACCAATATTAGATCAGATCTGTGGTTGTTTATAAAGAAGGGAGAGAGTTCAGACTTTGGGAGGACATTTTGAAACTACCCTGTA